AATAAATGCAAGTCCGGGTTGGCACATGAATATTTAAAGCTCACATTACATTACTCGGAGAAACAGCAGAAGAAAAAGGGGGTGGGGAAAGCTAACAGTTCATCGTATAAATATTGGTAGAAGTTAAACATCCTCCATATAAATTTTCTTTGGCAAAATATGATTTTATTACTTACAAATCATGGTATTGTTAAATTTAAAAGGATATATAAGAAGAAATAAACTGATCTACACTGTTTTCAATCTTAAATAATCAGAGTGCCAGTAAATCTTTTCAGTGTCCCGTTTTGGGTTCTTAGCTAATACTAGTGGGTTGCTGGGACGTGTTGGCAAAATTTAAATGCAACTGACTCCCGGTTTCCCATATTCATACAATTGTGAATGTAATCACAGGATAGTGAATTTTATCTCAGAATTCTCCAAGAGTTGCCCTCAAATCGCGTCCCTGTATGCAGCATTCACTTGACGTCTGCCATGTGTACCTGTGCGTTGGAAACCAGTCATGAAACTGAAGTGAGTCGATTTCAGTTGAAATGAACCCATTCAAATGACCCGAGTCTGCGCTGTTTGAGGCTTCTCTCAATAACACTCCTAATTAAAGAAAGAAAGACAGTGAAGTAAAGCAAGACTAGCAATAACCCACCATGAGCCTCAGATCCCTAAAGACAGCCCCAATCGGGTTTTCTAGCACTACGCCTGTGTCTCTGGGTGAAGAGCCGCTAGCACATGGTGTCCCAGCGAACCAGAGTTCGAACCAGCAGCCAGAGTTCGAAGCCCTTTTTGTGCAGAGTACCCCAATGCCAGTAGTAAAGGGTGCTTCAACCCAAACTATTCTTCAGCCCTTTTGCACCGCGGGCACCGCTGGAAAACCGGCGTCGGCGGCTGGCCTGCGCTGCGCGTTTTTTGCGCTCTGCGGCCGGGGAGTTAGTTGCCTGTGAAGAGGCGCCCCCATTCACCCGGGCGCCGCCCCTAGGGAAGCCCCAAGCTTAGGCCGTACGGAATCTACTCGTCCGGACTTAGCGTCCACTCTCAAGCCTGACACCATCCAGACCCAGCAAACGCAGCGGGGCGGGGCTGGGCATCGGCGGCGCCTCCTGCGGAAGGTGCGGTGCCACGTGCGCGCTGCACGGACCCCGAATTCGGCGAGTTCCGCAGTGGCCTCAGCCGCTCCCAGAACTGGGCCCCCAGCTTTAGGGCGGGGCCTCTTCCTAGCTACTGGGCTGGTTGTCGATTCCCATCCGCCCTCAGGGTAGGCTCCAGCCCAGAGCCACAGAGCCGGAGTCGTTCCCCGCGGCTGCTCCCAGGGCTCACGCAGAGAGAGGCCCATCGGCGGACCGCGGTGGGCCAACCTTTCCTGGATTCCGGGCTGCGGGTCTCAGGGTGGCGCTGGACCGAAATCGAGCCTCAGTCTTGGCTCCACAACCCCTGGAGTCTTCGGGTGTTTTCTGGCCGCAGAGCAGAACCTAGACTCCTCGCCTCCCGACGCCGGCCTCCCAGTCCCCGGGATGCAGCGTCTTAACTGGAGGGAAGCTCGCTGTGTGCCTAGGCCAACCTCTTCTGCGACTCTCCCTGTCACTCTGTTCTCGGTTTCTGCTTTCTCCCTCTCTCGGAATGCCAGCGCGCGCGGGGGGCCGTGGAGGACTCTCCGCACCAACCCATTTCCTGGGTCTCCAATCTACCTTTCCGCACAGTCTTGTCTCTACCTCTCCAGATTTCTCTCTCTAGAGATTCTCCCCGCACTTCCTCGCCGGTTTAGGCAGTAGGTAGATCGCTCTGCCTCTCTAAATTTGCCTCTCCTTTTCTCCCCGGTGTAGCAGTAAACAAATCCAGGTGTTTCGAGGTTGAAGAAGTTCCGGCGACGTGGAAAGAAAGAAAGAAACAAACAAACAAAAACCCTTATTGTGTCCTTGGGACAGTTCCGGTCACTACAGTTTGGCTTCCCCTTGAGATGGTGCCAGCGCTGATTCAGCCACGCAGGCCGCTGCTACCGAGGCGCGGGCTCGCTCGCTCTCTAGCTGAGTATGCCTATGTTTGAGTGTGGATTTGTGTGTCGATGGTGAACTGGGGCAAGCTCTCCAAACCGAAAGCTGAGCGGAGTTGGGTTTCTAGGATTCTAGGGCTACGGGCAAGTGAGATCGGGGATTTTTCCGGGGCCCAGATGCCGATGTGCGCCTAGACTCGGAGCGCCCGTAGCCCCTTGTCCAGTATCTCTAGGGCCGCAGCGTTAATTCCGAGTCCCCCGAAGAGATTCGCCACCTTCTCTCCGCGGCAGGGAGCGTCCTTCGGTCCAACGCCGCGAGAATCCGGGAGGTCCGAAGCAGGCTGGCCAGGCACAAGGGGAGGTCGATCCACAACGGATAGGGTGGGCAAAGAGGTGGCGATTGGGCCTGGGTACCCCAAGTGAAGGGGGGAGCCTGTGAATTATTCTGGGCACTGGTGCCACACGACCTGCGGGGTTACGAGTGAGGGCGGGCGCCCCCTCGGGAACGCACGTTTGTTTCGCTTTGGTCTGGAGTGCTCCAAGTACCACGCGGTGGTGCCGGGGTCAGGTATTTCCGAGCACCACGAATCCAAGGCTCTTGGTGCTTGGCCTAATCCTCTGCCTTTCCTGGTTGAGGACAGGAATGAAGTAGTGATCAGTGTCCCCTCCCTAATCACACCCCCCCACACACACAAAGCTAAACACACACGCAACACTCACCAAAGCATCCCACAAACACAAAAACTGAAGCCAACAGACGAAAACATAAGCCAAAACCTTCCTTAAACGCACTGCACATAAAAACAAAATCAAAATCGAAGAAAACGAAACACATACAAACACGAAATTCACCTAACGCAGAACACACAAACGACACCCACTAGTACAAAATCAAAAAAACATCAAAACACCGCGCAGAACGAACAGCCTTTCAAGCGACACACAAAACGACGGTCTACAAGGACAAAATACAATATAGCACACGGAAATCAAAACACAAGACAGAAAACAAAATCCACCCCAAAGACCAAAATTCACAGAGCAAAACCCGCTAAAATGAAATCCACGAAAAACCAACACGCAAAACACCAGCAACAGAAGACTCTCAGATAATGAAAAGAAAACAAACAAAACCAAAACAAACCTTATAAATAGAAAAAAACCCAACAACAACCCAAACAACTCCCGTGCCCAGCCCAGGGTGAAATGTCAATTCCGGGAGGGCTTTAGGCGCTGAAGGCCGCTCCTCCCCGGCTCAGCCTCCCGGCGCGGGCTAGGCGGGAGGGCGGGAGGGCGGGAAGCAGGGGCTGGGCCCGGTTGCCGGGGGAGAGTCCAGCGCTCGGAGGTGCCCAAAAATCTAGTCTCCGGGGCAGGGACCCGGACCCGTAGGCTGCAGGAAGAGGCGGCGGAGGGGGACTGCGCAGACTACTTGGGGGGATGGGGTGGGGGGAGGGGGCCGCTGGGGAATCCACAGCCACGTTTCCGATTGTGGCGAAATCGGCTCAGTGGATAAGTGATGTCCGGTTCCCGCGCCCCCCGCCCCCTTTTTCTCGAGCTCTGGGCTCTTCCCCCTAGGTTGCGGCCCATCCTCGTGACCACCCCCTCCAAAAAACAAACAACACTCTGAGGACGACTCACTTTTGGAAACTGCATTGTCCGGCGGGCCAAGAGTCCTCCTGCGAATCTCTCCCCCGCCCTCAGAGGACCTTGCCCCTGCGACCACCCCGCAGCGGGGCCCCACGGGCTTCCAGTGGCCAAGCCAAGCAGCTGGACTCGGGACTTGGGACTAGAATGGGGAGGGAAGTCTTGGGCCCGGGCCGAAGAGAGCGGGCTGAACATGCCAAACCTTTGCCCTGCCTCTCTCGGGCTGATGTCCCCTCTGAAATCAAGTCTTGGGGCTTCCGGACACCGCGACGGCTCGGGGCCGGCGGGCAAGGGGATTCCACTTATGGGCCGGGGTAAGGTGTCCGGAACTCCCGACAACCCTCGGGACCTCCTGAGTTGGTTCTGCTCAGCGCCGGTTCTCCCAAGAGGAGGCCCGGATTTTATCTCCAACATTTCACAGCTTACCGTCTGTGCTCCCGTCCAGGATGGGACAGGGTGTGTACTGGGGTGTTTGGGGGGTTCTGGCTCTGCCCGAGACTCAGCAGTAGTACTACAGCTGCAGACCGGGTGGGGGTGGAGTGGCCGAGAACTCCAGGGGGCGGGCGCCGCCCTAGGGGTGACTCTGAGGAAACTGGAACGCCTCTCTATGCCTGGCAACACTGCTTGCCTCTAAAGCCCTTCCAAATTGCAACCGCTTGGGAGAGTGGCTAGTTTCTTAAAAAACAAAAACGTGGCCTAAACCCTCTTACGTGGAAGGGTTTGCACCTATGGGGGTCACCGGCCTCGCGCACCGAACAGAGGGCCACGACACCCAGACTCAGAGATTTGTAGAAGTTGCGGCCGCGAGGCCAGGGCTCCCGGCTCGCCTATGGTCGGCCCCTTGCCGTTAGAGTGTAGGCTAGCGCCCGGCTCTGTTGAAGCCTTCCTTCCCTCCCCCACCAGCCCCCTATAAAAGTCCAGGGCGGCGCGGCGTTGGTACTGCGGTTCTCCCGGCCTCCTGCGCTGCTCCGGCCCGGCCCGGCCCGGCCCGGCCCGCCCCGTCTGGCCCGTTGAGCAGGCAGGGCCGCGGAGCGCGGACACCCTTTCCCAGTTCGGGGCCTGCAGTGCGGGGCGGCACGCTGGGGGCGCGGCGTGTCTGGGGACATCTTGTGATGTTGGCGAGAACAGGACATGATCTCACATGGCGAGAAGCTCTTTAGTTCCTTAATCATTTCACGGTGCCTTCGGACGCTTTTTTTCCACCTAAAACGTTTAGTTTCAGCTCAGTGATCAGCTACCCCAGCTCGGCGGGGGAGCGGAAGGCTTGAATTATTCCGACCTGTGAGCGGCCCCTGACACCAAAAAAAAAAAAAAAAGCACAAAAAAGTGGAAACTTTTTTTCCCTGTCCATTACATCAAGTTCTGAAAAATCAAAATGGATTTAGAGAAAAATTACCCGACTCCTCGGACCGGCAGGACAGGTAGGACCGCGATACGCGCTCTAGGCTTGCTAACTCGAGAGACACAGCGGGGCGCTGGTCCTCAGACACTTCGGCCCTGGGGGAGGGGGTGCGCCTCATTTTCGCAAGGATTTTGACTGCACGTCTGTCTGCGGCACGTTTCTCTTCAACGATCTGTTCACACACTTCTGCGTAGTGTTTGTGAGTTTGCGTGTGTTTTTCTCTATTTCTGAATTTTCATGTGGATGTTTATCTGGAGGTCTGAAAGTTTGGGTCTGTGTGTTTACATAGGGGCTCAGAGTGTGCATGAGTGACAGTGACAATTTGTGTGTCCCTTTATATATATATGTATATGTACATATATATGTATATGTTCATATATATGTATGTAGAGGAAGTGTGTGTGTTGGAGATTCTATGTGCATGTGTGTGTGTATTTATATTCATGAATCTATTAGTATTTGTTTATGAGTTGCTGTTCCTGGGTTCTGTTCTTTTGAGTATCCAAAATGTATGTCTATGCGTGGCTATATATGTGTAAAATTTTGATGAGTGTCTGTACATCTAATCCTTTAAGGGTCTGTGTTCGCCTGTCACAATTCAAGTGATTCTGAAAGTGAGAATAAGATGGTTACACTGATCCCTCCATTTTTGGATGTCAGCCACTTTTTACTGGGCATATACCCGTGTATACAAAAGTGCCTGCCTCTAGACACAAAGATAGGTCTGGGACCTGTGGGGGTCTGTTGTACTAAGCCTGCCATCAGTCGGGCTCAGGTTCCGTTGAGTTGAGAGAACGGAACCTGTGGTGTACACTGTGGTGTACACTGCTTCACTCTGTAGGTACTATTGAGCCTACCATTTATACAAAAGGGTCTTCTGTTGCAGGCACAATCCTGGCAGGTGACAGGAGGCAGCCTACCTATAAGCTAGTTGTGACTTTCCTAGGGATCCCCAGCCTGCCTTAACTCTTACCTAGATAAGCCTCTGACACTGGTGTGTGTGTGCGTGTGTGTGTGTGTGCACGCATGCACATGCCCAAGTTTTATCTTGTGGGTGCCAGGAAGAGAGTGAAAGTAGGTGGACCCGTGTGTCTAACTGGGGCAGTTATACACCTCTGAACCTGTATATGCACAGGCAGACCTTTCTGGCACAGAGCCGGATGTGCCTCCCACAGTTCCAGGCAGTGGGTAGCAGTGGGTGTTTATGTCGGAGAGGAGGTGGCAGGCTGCAGGAAGCTTCTGTCTGCCCTGAGGTAAAAGCCAGGTATGGTTGCCTCTTTCACTCATTAGGCCAGAAGAGCTAAACTCCCATCCAAATACACTTCTGGCCCTGACAGAACTCCATTCCCCATACCCCTGTGGTTCTGCGAGTCCCTACCTCCACCTTCCCTAAGTAGGGGTCAAAAAGGAGAGAGGTGGCGGGTGAACTTGTATCTCGAAACCCAGGACAATTCCCTAGGCTTGTATGTGTTTCCAAAATCAGGACTGAAGAGAAGTGAGGGCAGAAATCTAAGCGGCAGGGAAATGAAGAAGGTCCCCCAGGGTGGCAGCGTAGGAAAGGGAACCTGGAAACCCCCTCTGCTCCACCCACTCTCCCCACTACTCCCAGTAGGTGAGGCTCCAGAAGCATCTGCACTGGCGACTGGGGGGTGTGCATGTGTTGGGAGCGGGTCAGAAGCCTGAGAGGGTGCTTGAGAGGGTCTGCGTGGCTGGCCTGGCTGCCTCTCTAGACAAGCTGTCTACAAAGACTGTAATTCATGGCGGTCGATGGGCTCTTTGATTAGTTCAATCGCCTGAATAATCGTTTAATCGATAAAGCATTTCCTTCCTCTTCAAGACAGGCCTGGGTGGGGCTGGGGCCCGCAGGCCTGGCCAGTTTAAAAATCTGGAGAGCCACGCCCCTCTTCACCTTTCGGTTGGATGAGGGCCCTGACTGGGAAAGGATATCTCAGGTAACACTACACTTGCGTCTGTCTTCTCCAGCCCGCAGCACGGCTGGGGAATAAAAGAAAGCTGAGAAACTGCCCAGGTTGGGGGCGTCCAGGTCTAGTTTGGGGATTTCTGCTTGGGTGTCTCCCCCTCCCAACTTCAAGGCTTTTTATGGGTTGCTTGATGGCCCTTTATGTCCTTCAGAACTGTATTCCATGCCTGCACTCAACCTCACTTTCCCCATCTGAACGATGGGGAAGGCATATCTGGTCTTCTAGCTTAAGTCAAAGATCGGGTGAGATCCTACCTGAATAAGGAGCCACTTAGGCATATTCTTGTCGAGCCTCTTCCTTGTGGTACCAAAAAAAGGGAAAACTGAGGTCCAGAAAGGGGCAGGGACTTATTTGAGATCACAGAAGGAAGTATGGAATGAGTAGGACTGGAGGGTAATTCTTCCGCCCTTAAACCTCTTATTCTTGCTTGAAAAGGCAATAGAGCCCCACATGCCCCCCACCCCCCCCCTTGGAGAAAAATGACAATTAGGCAAGTTAGCTGAGGTCGGGGTTAAGGAGTCCCAAGGCCAGGGAGAGCAGGGTAGGCTGAACACTGCATTTGTGGACTTTGGCACCAATTCCCCTAGCTCTGGAATGAGCCTGGTGGAATAATACCTTCTACCCATGGATCTTCATCTTTCAGAAGATGAAGGAAGCTGAGGAAGCTGAGCCCTAGGAAAAGCAGGAAGCACCTTTGGGATAAATAAAGGTAGTACCAGAGTTCTTGGCCTTTGAGGTGTGGTGGTAATGATAAAAAAACTTGACAAAGGCATTTTACACAGTTTTTGAAAAATATGATTAAATTCTCTCCTTTTCCTCCCACTTCAACCATTCTTACAAACAGACTTGGGCCAGGCAGAGTAGACCTCTGATCCAGGAGAAAGGAATCATGCAGGAAATGGCTCTGACCCGACTTGCTGTCTAACTTAGGGTCAGTTGCTCTCTCTCTTTGATGCTTTTAAAATGAGGATTAGAAGGGACCCACCAAGTTAGGATAGCATCGCTCAGGCATCTCTGGCTTTCTGGAATTGAGCAACCAATCTGAGCCCTGTAGGCCTCGCTTTACCCAAAGCAGGAACAGGGAGATGGGCTGGGCTTGGGCCGCAGGAGTCAATCTTAGGCCCAGCGAGTGCTCTAGCAGCCCCAACTGGCAGGCACAGCGGGGTGCGGGAGGGGCAGGCCCCGGAGAAAGCAGAAGGGGTGGGGGGAGAGTGTTCTGGGTACAGTCAGGTTTGTGTATGGAGACTGGGGTGGCTGTTCCTCTGAAGGCGGCTTCTCAAACATTTTTCTGAATGGGCTTTCTTTCAATAGCAAAACTTTCAAAGGCAGTTCGATTTACACAAATTAAATTTCTTTCTGGAAGTTTTCCTTTCCCCATCTCCTGCCTCCTTCACTTAGTATAGGCCCTAAGTCGTGCCTGGGGAATGAAACCACAAGGCTGTGGCATACAGCAACGCCCTACCGCATTCAGCACAGCAGCTTGGAGACCAGCTCCCTGATAACTTGTCTATCCTAGACCCAGACTTGTGAGCTGCGAAAGCTTTTGGAGGCAGGACGAAGGAGTGGTGCTAGTCTGGTCAAGGAATTGCTGTGTAATCCCAGGATAGTCAAGTAACTTTTCTGGGCCACCGTTCGGGCTGAATTAGGTGGCCAGGGTATCTGATGGTGCCTCTTGATGTTAGAAGTTCGGGGAGGCCGGCCCACTCAGGCGGCTGTGAATAATCTCCTATCTGCAGGGACACACCCTCCCCACTGTGCACCACAAGGTGGAAAGGGGGCTGCTGTCGCAACCCAGGTTAGGTTGCCCAACACTGTCCAGAAGCCCAAAAGCCTTCTGTGCGAAATGGAAATCTGACCCATTCCTGTTTGAGTAATATATTAATGTGCGGTTCTAGTCAACCCTGGCAGTGCTTTGGCGGGAGATTCGGTCCAAGCCGCACTGGTATCAGAAGGAAAACCGGTTTGTATTGACATATCCTATCTGGGTTCCCTCCTCCTCCACCCCCCGCCCCCCCCCCCCCCGCAAAAAGAAAACAACTCTCCACAAGCCAAGAGTGGCTCTGGAGAAACCCCTCTGAGAAAGAGGTTTCTGGTTCACAGCCTTTCCTCTATCCTGGACATGCTAAGTGACCTTGGACAAGTAGCTTCTTGTCTTGGCTTCAGGTTTCATATCTATAAAATGGGGAAGACATAGCCTCACGACCCTTTTAGCTGTAAGACTTTAGAATCTGAGTTTCCAGGCCTGAACTAGAGCAGGGGTGGAGGTGTCCCCAACTGCTTCCCTCAGGGTGTTCCCATACTCCCGCCTCTCTGGTGGTTGAGCAGAACTGCTGTGTGAATTCTTAGTCCACTTCGATCCATCAAGCCCCATTGGGTGGAGTGAATGCGGGAACCCTAACACAATCCTGGTTCCTCGGTGTAGTTTCGATCTTCCGGCTCCTAGGCGAGGAGGGTGTGGTTGAAGATCAGGACAGGCAGGGTTCCAGACAAAGAAGAGATAATGCTGCCCCACCCCAGGGCCTATAGCAGCCTCCTGGGCCCCCAGAGGATTTCCTGGGTCTGTTTTCTGCAGCTGTGCCCTGGAGGGGTTGGGGACGGTGTCACTGCTGGAAACTTATCTACCCTTCAGGAGCAGCTGGATCTGGGACAGGAACAGAAGGTGGTTCCGAGGGCTGATCTGGTTTTGAGTGTGAGAAATTGGACGGAGGTAGAGAGAAGGGTAACTGAAGTAAAGAATGTCCTGGGAGTCCTCCCAGGGTCAGCTGGTACTCTGTCTTCCTTACAAGTCCAGGTCCAGAGCAGACATCTCAGAGCCCTTGTTTCAGTGGATTTATGTTTAATATTAGAAGATCATCGCTTGTGAATTTGAAATAGTGGGTCTTGGATCAACTCCCACGAGCTGTTGAGCAAGGGGAGTCTTCAGTTACTCTTCCTGTCCTGGGCGCCAGCAAACGTAGGCACTCACAGAACTGTTGCCTCCTGAGTGTAGAATGGCTATCACATGCTTCCATTTCAAAGTGCAGTTCCTTTGCCTTTG